TAGATGAATAAGACAGTGTGGGATGTTGTATATGATATACACACAGAAAAAAAAATCAACAAATTAAAAAAATGACTCATATTTGAAGAGGAAGCATAAAAAGTTACTTCATGTTAATTAGTAGAGATGATAAATATTACCACTGAAATCTACCTAATGACTTTATATCTATACTCAGGTGCCAAGGATCCAAGTGTAACCAACTGCAACTAGCAATAATCAGATTAATGTCAATTGCCTTGGAATGAATTTTTCTGTATAAAACTGTGTGTTTTGACAACGAAGTGGAACCTCATTTAATTTTATGTCTTATAGAGTTTATAATGAGTAAAAGATTGTATAAACGTAATAATTCATCTGTAAACCTAAAAGTTTACAGCCAATTTTGAAAGAGATGCCTCTTTGCTCTGGAAATTGTTATTGACTATGTTAAAGCTGTAATGAAATGCTTCTTCTAATCATCTGGTTATTAAATTAAAAAAAAAATTTTAATGAGTTTTTCTGTTTGAAATAGTATATTTTAAAATGTAATGGAGATCTTTTTTAATGGCTAAAACCTCATTCAATTTTATGTCTTATACGGTTTATACTGAGTTCAATATTGTACAACTGTATTAATTCAACTGTGAACCTAAAAATTTACAGCCAATATTGAAAGAGATGCATATTTGCTCTGGAAATTGTTAGTGAATATGTTAATGCTGTAATGAAATGCTCCTTCTAATCATCTGGTTATTAAATAAATAATTTAAAAATTAAAGAAAAATAAAAATAAAACATTTTTAAAAGAAATGTGATTAGAAAAAAATAAAATACGTAATAAAAAGAAACTAAATCCATCTTTTCAATGTTAACAAGAAACTCCTCTATCTTCAAGGAATATTAATGCATCTCTCAACTCTTACCAGCAAAGCTTCCTCATACAACAGAGGGTGAATAACAATAAAGGCCACAACTGATCAAAGTGTAGAAAATAAAGAGACTGAAGTAGGACTCCTGTATTAAACCTCACAAACACAGGGTTCAGAGACCATTGGGGAAAAGGGAGTAGAAAGATTGTAAGAGATGAAGGTGGTACATAACCACAAGGAAACAGAGTTGTCCATGCTTCTGGGAACTTGCTTATATGAACTTATACCAACGGTGACAGCATGCAAAGACTCATGCAAATTCAATCCAGACAAAAACCCAGCACAGAAGTGGAGAAATGGATGAACAGCCCCATTCTTAGCTGAGAAACTACTGGCAGTTGATCATTGCTGGGTGAGGGAGAGTTGGTCTTCTTTAAGGGAGTGACGCTAGACAGGCTGACCAGGCTCTAGTGGATAAACTCTCACTGAAGGACATCTGAGGACACAAACTCGACTCTATAGGCCTTAATATATATGACAAAATGCATGAAATCGAGTGGGGAATATGGGTGGGTGTAGATAGGGGAGGGAGCCAAATGATGATAGGGGAGGGAGCCAAAGATGTATTGTATGCAATGCACACAAATTCACTAAAACCATATATTGAAAAAAAATAAAGATAAAGAGAAACATCTGAAACAAGTTATATCATCCATCAAGTGGACCTAACAGACATTTACAGAATGTTCCACATAAGCACCAATGAACCGCACTTTACTCAGAAAGTTGTTGAAGTTTCTCTAAAATAGATCATATACTAGAGCACAAATCTCAACAACTACAAAATAACTGAAATAATTCCATTTATTCTATCAGACCACAAGGCAATAATGCTTAAAATCAACAGCAAGAAAAGCTCTAGAAGGAACATGAAATTAAACAACACAATTCTGAATTCTAGAAGGAACATGAAATTAAACACTACAGAACACAACCTCTGGACACATTAAAAGCAATCCTACAAGGGAAGTTCACTGCTCTAAGAAGCTACATTGAAAAAATCGGAAACAGGACAATTAAATGACTTATTGGTATAACTCAAGAATCTGGAAAAACAAGAAACCAAACCCAAACCTAGTAGATGAGAATAATAAAAATCAGAGCAAAAATCAAAGAAATGGAAACAAAGAAAACATAAAGAATCAATGAAACCTAGTAAAGATACAACAGAAAACTATAGGCCCATATTCATAATGAACACAGATGCAAAAATTTTCAACAAAATACTTGCAAATCACATATAGACACATACCAAAAAGATCAGTGACCATGATCAAGTTGGTTTTAGTCCAGAGATGCTGGCATGGTTCAAAATACATAAGTCAATAAATATAGTAAATCCTATAAATGGACTTTAAAACAAAAATCACATGGTCATTCTAATAGATGCAGAAAAGGCCTTCAACAAAATCCAACATGCATTCATAAAAGTCCTACAGGTAATTAGATTGGAGGAAACATACCTCAACATAATTAAGGTTATATACAACAAACCCACAGCCAATATCATACTAAATGGAGAAAAACTCAAAGCATTCCCATTAAACTCGGGAACCAGTCAAAGCTGTACACTATCTTCACTCCTTTTCTATGTAGTACTTGAAACTATAGCTAGAGCAGTACAGCAAGAAAAGGAAATTAACGGAATACTAATTGGAAAAAGGGGTCAGATTTCCCTATTAGCAGATGACATGATATTAATGTAAGAAATCCCAAAAATATCACCAGAAAATTTCAAGTAATGATAAAGACTTTTAGCAAAGTGGCAGGATACAAAATCAATTTACAAAAGCCACCACCCTTACTCTATGACAATAACAAGCAGTCAGAGAAAGATATCATGAAAACACTTCCATTAACAACGGCCTCAAAAAAAAAAAAAGAAGTATCTAGGAATGAACATAAAGACATAAAAGACTCTTACAATGAAAATTTTAAAGCTCTGAAGAAAGAACTTAAGGAAGACACAAGGAGATGGAACGATCGCTAGTGCTCATGGATTGGTAGAATTAATATAGTGAACATGACCATCCTACTAAAAGCAATTTATAGACACAATGTAACCCCAATCAAAATCCCCATGAAATTTTTCATAGAATTAAAACAATTTTTTTAAATTCATATGGAATCACAAAAGCTCCGAGATAATCAAAGCAATCCTGAACACAAAGAGCAATGCTAGGGGATCACCATTCCAGATTTCAAGGTATATGGCAGAGCTGTAGTCATAAAAACAGCATGATACTGGAATAAAAATAGATATATAGATCAACAGAACAAGAGCAAAATACAAGTGTACACAATTTCAGCCACCTGATATTTGACAAAAATGTCAAGAACACTTGGAGGAAAGACAGCAACAACAAATGTTGGAAGGAAAACTGGATCCCCATGTGTAGAATGAAATTAGACCCTTATCCATCACCCTGCACAAAAGTCAATTCCAGACGGACTGAAGGCCTCAATGTGAAAACTGAAAAGCTGGTATCATTAAGAGAAAACATAGGCTGTAGCCTAAAATATACAGGTTCAGAGAAGGACTTTCTAAACAGAACATTAGTAGCTCAGAAATTAAAGTCAACAATTGACAAATGGGGCATCATTAAACTAAAAAGCTTCTGTATAGCAAAGGAAATAACCCAATAAATGAAGAGGAAGCCCACAGAGTAGGAGAGAATCGTCACCAGCTACACATCTGATATAGGGCTAGTATCCAGAATATAAAGAACTCATAAAACAAAGGATCAAGAAAACAATGATCCAAGTAAAAAATGGGTTATGGATCTGAACAGAGAGTTCTCAAAAGAAAGGAAAAAATGGCTAAGAAATAACTTAAAACATGTTCAACATGCTTAGTAATTTGGGAAATGCATATCAAAACTACCTTAGATTTTTCTTACCCCAGTTAGAATGGCTACAAGCAAGAGAACAAATGACAACAAATGCTGATGTGGCGAAAGGGGAATCCTCAATCACTGCTGGTGGGATTGCAACCACTGTGTAAATCAGTGTGGAGAACTCTTACAAAACCTAAAACTAAATCAAACATATGATCGCTTATACCACACATCAGCATACACCAAAGGACTCAGTTTCCTACTGCAGAGATACTTGCTCAGTTATGTATGTTGCTGCTCTTTCCACAATAGCTAGAAATGGAAACAAATGTCCCTCAACTGATGAATGGATAATGAAATGTGGTACAATTATACAATGGAGTTCTACTCAGTGATAAAAAAAATCTGAAATCAGGAAATCTGCACGTAAATGAACGAGACCGGAAACTTATGCTACATGAAGTAACACCAACTCAGAAAACCAAGACATGTATGTTTTCTATCATTTGTAGAGCCAAATCCTTAGATGGGAGTATATATCCCAATGTAACCATAGGAGCCAGGAAAATGCTAAGGAACCATGGCAGTAAAGGAGAAAGGGCTTGAGAGAGAAATCTACTTTTGTCACATCACTCGACCAACCTAATTTCTTACTGTATTCTAATATGTACCCTTGTAATTACAGATAAGTAAACCTCTCACCACTCACCAAAGAAGCTCCTTTTTGCAACAGATACTGTTTCTTTCTAATTAAGATTTAATGTAATTTTTTTAGTGTGTGTTGTGTGTGTGTTGAGACAAGGTCTCATACAGATCAGGCTGCCTTAAACTTATTATATAGCAGAAACTGGCCTTGAATCACCCAAGTGCTGAGAATGTGTGCCACCACCCCTGGCTCTACTTAAGACATTTTAAGACTACAAATTTTCATCAAGAACATTTTCTATAAATTTTTCTGTTTTCATGTATGAAACAAATTTCTAGCTTACTTGTGATTTCTTATTGACACAGAGGCCAATTAAAAAGGTATTGTTTAGGGGCTGGCAAGATGGTTCAGTTGTTAAGAGCAGTTGATACTCTTGCAGAGGGCCCCAGCAGAGTTTCCAGCACCCATGTCAGGAGACTCACAACCATCTCTAACTCCAGCTCCAGGGGATACAATGCCCTCTTCTGGCTTCTATCAATGATACTGCCACAGAAAATTTAAAAAAACCAAAAACCAAACAAACCAGCAACCAAGATAAATTCTCACCTTTTCAGATAAATACTGTTCATAAATTCCAACAGCAGCTGCTCTTAAAAGACCTTTGGTTTGGTTGGTTTGATGTCTTCCATCTCTCTGACGAGTTGATAAAACCTCTAGCTGCTGTTGTGCTGTAACCCGGTATCCTTCCACTGTCATCCAAAAGAAAAGATGTGCCTGACCTCCAGTTTGCTGCATGTAATCTACAAAACAGAATCCATAACAAGGTATCTTTCAATGTCACACAATATTAGGTCCATGTTGCTTCATGACAAATAAGAGCTACAGTTTCAAATATTCAAAATTCTACACTTTCCTAAAAGTTTTAGTAAAAATCTGAGGTTAAAAAAAAAATTTAAGTTGAAGTTAACAACCATAGCATGGGTGAAAGCACATAATTTTTATTTATTTACTGAAAGAGCATTTCATTAAGTAGTCCAGGTTAGCCTACAACTTAAGATCTTTCTACACAATCTTCTGATTACAGAGATTATAGGCATATATCACCACATCCAACTTAAAGCTTTCTTTTTTTAGAAGAATTTTTTTTAACTTTTATTTTTTTATTTTATGTATATGCATGTATTGCCTGCATGTAGGTGAGTGCACCTGTGTCATGCAATGCCTGTGGAAGCCAGAAGACGCTGTTGGATCCCCTGGGACTGGAGTTATGGACAGGTGTTAGCTGCCATGTGGGTGCTGGGATTTGAACCTGTGTCTTCTGCAAGAACAACCAGTGTTCTTAATCACTGAGCCATCTCTCCAGTCCCAACAACTTAAAGCTTTTTAAATCTCATTTTAATGATGAACTCTTGAGTGAATAGGCTACATAAATTTTATCGAAGGTAAATTACTTCATCAGCATTCAACATCTGTTCTGTAAAGATTAGTCTTGAGTTTTCTATAGATACATTAAAATTAAGATTAGCAATGGGTCAAACCACACATTTATACTTAGATGACACAAATGAAGGTTCAAGGATTTATGCTGGAAATGCCGACTGGATAAAATAATTTTAATGTAATATTAATAAACATGCAGGAAATGCACTCATATACACAAAAATATTTTTTAAAAATAACATACTAGAATCACACATATTTATTGCAAAAGTAGTTTAGCAAATGCTCACTAGTCATAAGAAACATTTATTTCTTTCAAAACAAATGTCTATCTCTATGGTTTCTAAGGAAAAAGTTCAAAGAACAAAGGATGGGTGAATTTAACATATAAAAATCAATCATCCAAAATTCAATAATACTATAGATTATTAAACTTCAAGGAAGACAGGGTAAAATGCCAACACCACAATGACTGTAACTGGAAAAACCTATCAGATGAAACTATGGAGTCTACTGAAAAAATCCAAAATCTAGGGCAAAGATCTGGAAAGTTAAACCAGATGCAACGTAAAATGGGACAGTAACTGTGAAAAGCAGGATGGTGTTCTTCAAAAACAACCAATAATAAAATTGTAATATGATTCAATAATTCCACTTCTTTATTTATATGTAGCCAGAAAATCAGAAAGAGTATCTCAAAGAGCTACTTACGCATCAGTACACACAGCAACATTCGTCACACTAGCTAAATGAGGAGAGCAACTCAAGATTCCTTGGATGGATAAATGGATATCCAAACGGTGCTGTGGGGGGCAGGAAAGAGGTGCATGCACACGCACATGTACATGTGTGTTTATGTATGTGATGGCATAAAAAGGAAAGAAATTCTAACACATGTACCTGCTAAATCTGTATCTTAAAACATGGAAGAAACTTAAGGATATTATGCTAAAAAAGTAAACCAATAACTTTAATAAGAATAGAATTTTAGTTTTATGAGATAAGAAAAATTCTACAGATTGATGGTGGATGGTTACATCTAAGCAATGTATTTATTATTACTGAATCGTATATTTACAATGATTAAGTTTTAAAATCAAGATATTTATATTTTACAAGTCTAAAAATGAAAAATGTTAATGGCCACATTATTTAAATAAACTTTTACCTACCCATAAAAAACTGTAGTGCAACATTGTCTACAAGAATGCTGTCCAGGGGAACTATGCAAAGTTTCCCAAAGTTTGCTGCTAGTTTCACAGTATTTATTTCCTATAGAAACAAGTGAAAATAGGTTAGCAATTCATTTATGCTTATGTAAGGAAAAAAAAAAAACCACAACATTCAGTCAAAATGGGAAAGAAACAAAGATTTCTCCTTCTCGTGCATGCTGGTTCCTAATAAAATACTTGGGTGAATCTAAATTCCTATTTATTTTTAAGAAGTAGTTAGAAGGGGCCAGAGAGATGGCTCAGTGGTTAAGAGCACTGACTGCTCTTGCAGAGAATCAGGGCTCAATTCACAGCACCCACATGGTAGCTAACAACATTTCATAACTCTAGTTCCAGGGAATCTGACACCCTCTTCTGGCATCCACAGGCATTGTACATGGATGCACTTAACATGCAGGCAAAACACTCAAACGCACAAAATAAAAATGAAAACAAGTAGCTATTAAATAATTATTAAAAACATGATAAACATTAATTTCCTACAAAAGAAAAGAAGCCTCTGTCTTTCAAGCTCTGGGATTAAAGGTGTGTATTACCATCCGGGCCACTTCTAATTTTTGATTAATGTGTATCTACTAGGAAAACAAAAATACACATACATTCCCAAATAGCGATCTTGCTTTTAACAGAGTAAAACCTCTATTATTGTAAGAGAAACTATACTTCTTTTTAAACTAAAGAAGCAGAGATGTATACTTTCAAACTGATAGCTCAAGATAGCTACCTACAATTTTAGGTGGAGAATTTTATGTAGAGAAAAGAATTAATATTTTAAAAGCATGGATGTTCCAGATATCGTGCTGGTCACATTCCATAAATTACTTCATTTAAGCAGTACTGCAATTCCACTGGACATGTATCACAATCAGACCTAACAAATAAGGACAACAAACATCAGAAAGACTGAATATTATTCATAAAGATGGTAAAAGTAAGTCTGTGTGTCCAAATTCTAAAACCTTTCCACTAAAACCCATGATGTTTGTGTTTGGGGTCTTTCAGCACCTGAAATCCACATCAGAAACTTCTATTTTAAAAAAAGAATGATACTGGGGCAGGAGAGATGGCTCAGCAGTTAAGAATACTGGTTGTTCTTGCAAAAGACCCGGGTTCGAATCCCAGCACCCACATGGTAGCTAACAACTGTCCATAAGTCCAGTTCCAGGCAATCCAACCACCTCTTCTGGCCTCTGTAGGCAGTGCACGACATAGGTGCACTCACCTACATGCAGACAATGCACGCGTACACATAATTGAAAATAATAAAATATAAAAAATGTTTAAAAAAAGAATGATACTAAATTAGGTGTGTTGCCACATTCATAGGCCCATACACTAAATTAAGCATAAGATATATATAAAAGAAGGAGAATTTTAACAAAGGGAAAATAAAACTAAAAAACCCAGTCTATTCCTATAAATATTGCTTCCTTTCATAAAAATGCTGAATAAGAACAGATAACTGACTTTGTGCAGGACACAACAGTCTGGTGCCAGTGGATGGTTTCTTAGTAAGTCTACCTTCTTCCAAGCTCGTATGGCATGGGAAGGACTACTGACTACAGCCTCATTTGTATTATGAAAGGATAAAGGATCTTCTCAGAGTTCAAAATAAGTAATGTGGTTATAAGTGGCAAGTGGATAGACACCTTCTAAAAGGAAACTGTATGATGCAGAGTAAGAAGGTAAATTCTGGCATCCAAAATGGAATTTACAGGCTTCTAAACAAAGAAAAATTTCGAATGATTCCATATATAAAAGGATCTTCACAAATAGACCTTAAATGATATTGACAAATCAAAAACTTTAAGATCTAGACATGGTAAGTAGTTAAAAGAACAAGGAAACTATCATTCTGCTTTGCACAGGAATATAAAGTGTAACAAATAAATATAACAAAGTGGTTTTGTTTTGAACAATAAGCTTTATAATTTATTCCTTAAGTTTCAGTATGCTGTGATTTGTCCAGAGGTCACAGTTAACTTTAGCTGTCAACTTTACACAAGCCTAGAATCACCTAGGAAGAGGAAACCTCAACTGATATTATTAATATTTTTGCTATTTTTCAAGCAGTATATTTGGGGAGAAGGCAGATTTTGTTTTATTCTCTTCTTAAAAAAATAAATAAATTGTATATAAGTGTTTTGCCTGCATGTATGCAAGTGCACCTATGTCATGCAAAGCCCAAGGAGATCAGAAGAGGGTGACAGATCTTCTGGAACTAGAGTTATTGGATGCTGGGAATTGAACCCAGGTCCTCTGTAAGAGTAGGCAGCACTCTTAATTGCTAAACCATCTCTCCAGTCCCTGATTTATTCACTTTATCTGAAAAATCTCTTTATATGAAAAAGCATCATAGAAAAGTATTTGGTTTAAGACTCAGTAATCCACTCAAAGCTTTGGAAGTTTGTTTTCATTAAGGCTACACATTTTTCTCTTTTTGGTTCAAATCCATTTCAAAATGGATGCATAACTTCTTAGAGTAGATTCCCTCACACAGCAGCATGAGCTTTCATATGTATCTCATTCACCTTATCTGGAGTTATCTTGTGTTTTGTGTACTAAAAGAGCTGTTTCTCTTAACTATCCATTTCCAGTAGAAAACACACATAACTTGCAATGTTCTGATGCACGATGTGTTTCTGACGTAATTTTACATTAAACTCCTTGCTCTCAGAGTCATAACCAGAGAATCATTCAGTACAAGGAGGGATAGACAAACTTCTATCCACAGCTCCCTTCGGGATACCAAAAACTTGCCAGTGGTAGTTCTAGCAAGACATATCCAAGGAGCATATTGCAATGGTTAGTTTTTATTGTCAACCTGACAAAATCTGGAGGCACTTGGGAAGAGGGAACCTCAGCTGACAAATTTCCCAAATCATATTGAGCTCTGATCATGTCTGTGAGAGACTATCTTGACTGATGATTGATATGGGTGAGCCCAGACCAGTGTAAACAGCATCATACCAGGCAGGCGGGCTGGGCTGTATAAGAAAACTAGTTGGGCATCAGCCAAAGGCCGAGGCAGTAAGCAGTGTTCCTCCATGGATTCTGCTTCTGCTTCTTTTGGAGTTTTTGCCCTAACTTTCCTCAGTAATTGACTGTGACCTAAAAGTGTAAGCTCCTCCCTCCAAAAGAAAAAAACCTTTCCACCCCTAAGTTGCTTTTAGTCAGAGTGTTTTTATCACAGCAACAAGAGAACTAGAACACATGTGAAAGCTGAAGGTGGCCAGTAGTGCATTCCTTGCTGTATCCATCTCCAGTCACTTCCATTTGGCTTTCACAGATTTTGTCCATGCCAATTTACCAACAACCCTGTAGACCAGCAGTAGACCAATGTAATATGCTGTACTATAATTTGCGAGGACAATTTTCACATCAGATTTTGGTAGCTCAAGTGCAAATGCTATACAGAGTAACATATCACTCTATATGGTCATAAGCAGCCTGGCAAATGAAATCCTTATTGTCTCTAATATCATCAATATTGGGAGATTTTTAATTATTTTGTCCTGGATCACCAAGTGTTTCCAGAAACAGTTACCTGCTTAACCTTCTTGTCTTCTAAATTTCACCTGAGGTCTCTTACAGGAGACCTTATTCTTCACAACTTTAACAAACCCCATCCTATGAAGCTAAGATCCACATACTTGCCTCAACACAGATCTGTAGATTCAGCAGCATTACAGAAGGGAAAGGCTCAATGAATATTTTAATCAGTCTCTCTACTTGCTCTAACAAGTATCTATCACACTACATTTTATAAAACTTTTGCTTTAGGGGTAAGATATGCTCATTTGACAATGTGCTTATGTAAGCCTTAGGAACAGAATTCAAATCTCAAGCACCCATGTAAAAAAGGTAGGCACAAAATCTTTTATCTGTAACCCTAACACTGAGGGAGAATCAGGGAAAGGGATGTCAAGACAGCAGGATCCTTAAGAGATTAATGGCCAGTCACTCTATGTGGTAGGTGAGTTCTAGGTTCAATGAGAGATCCTGTCTCAAAAAATAAAGTGGAGAGCAACTGTGAAAGACACCAAATGTTGAATTTTGGCCTAAATACACATACATACAGACACACAGACACACACAGACTTTGCTTAAGTCCTGTCATAGACTGCTCCACTAGCTAATATCCTACTTTTTGTCACAAACTAGGCATTTTAATCACTATAAAGTATTTACAACTAGGCGCTAATTCAGAAGTACTTCATACTTACTTTGCCTGACTGCAACCGTTGTACTCTTGAGTCACATACTTTCTTTACAAATAATAAGCTATTTATTTGATTTTTGATAGTGTTAATATCTGAAAAACAAATTGATTATGAGCTAAAAAAATGATTACAGTAATTCAAAAATCCTTTCAACATACAAATGTTCAAACATAAATAAAAGTTCATGATTACATTAAGGTATAGAATTACCTTTTTTTAAAGATACAATAATGCTTAAAACATTCTTATACTTAAATAAATCACTTACCATCACCAGCTGTATCTAAAGATCTAAGATATTGTAATTCTTCTGCTGCCTTGTCTCTGACTGCTTCTAACTCTCCAATATTGTCACTTAATTTAATAATGTTCATAAAGGCCTCATAGTTGCAATTTGAATCACGAATCTGAAAATAAAGTTTTAAAAAACATGAACAAGGGGAATTGTTTATTTAGAGAAACAAAATAGACTCTTGAGAGACAATCATGGGCTTGGTACCACCTGCTACAAACCTAGTGCTTATATCAAGAAGAGAAAGCAGTATGTTCATGATAATGGGACACACCCACACCCACACCCACACCCACACCCCAGAATAAAATAAAACATACAATTCATTACAAAGCACAGAATCATGCTGCAAATGACTGATGGTAAACAAGGAAGTCAAGATGGCTGGAGCTAAGTCAAAATCCAACCAAACAAGAAACCCTGGAGAGCAGAGGATGACAGCAGCAGTAATGGAAGAAGAATCCTGCCGTACGCAACAGATTTGGACTTTTGCTCTGCAAGAAAGCAAGTTACTGGGTTTAAACAGAAGAATAATACTGTGTGACCTGAAATATAACAAAATGCACTATGTTGTTATATAGAAATAGAATGAAGGCAATCAAGAACAGAGAAAAGTTAACACAGATGAGACACGGAAATGGTGGTAGTGGGGAAGAAGTGTATTATAAAGTTCTCTGTGAAACATTTTATAGTAAGAAATGTTTGTTAGAAACAGTATTAAAGCTGGGCATGGTGGTGTGCACCTTTAATCTCAGCCCTGGGGAGGCAGAGGCAGGCGGGTCTCTGTGAGATTGAGGACAGCCTAGTCCACATAATGAGTTCCAGGCAAGCTGGGACTAGGGAGACCCTGTTAAAAACAAAACAAAAAAACAACAGCAGCAGAAAACAGTATTAAAACTGATTGATAAATCAGATAGGCACGTGAAATGAAGAAAATTTAAAACTACAGTAATATTTATGGCCTGAAAAACAGTAGCAATAGAGTTAATCATTAAACAAGATGGAGATAACACGAAGGCAAGTACAGGGTTTAGGAGGAAAGGAGATTAGCAGGAACTCAGTTTCATTGTAAAACATTTAAATGTTTAATGTGTGTGCTTTCTGGTAAGAAAGGCGAGAATCTGGGAAGGAGGACTAGGCAGAAATACCATTTCCAAGTCACTGACATATAGATGACAAAATCAAATCTACATGGGAATCATCAACAGAATGAGGATGGGTTGGGAAAAGAAGAGATCACGTCAGAGACCTAGCACACTGAAACAGGAAAAACAAAAACAAAAACAAACAAAAAACCGGAGGAAAGCCAAAAATCAGTAAAGTGTGGTATCCCAGCAAGTTACATGTATGGCAGCTTCTTCCAAACTCAAGCATTCCTCCAGAAAAAAGAGGCTCAGGAAGTGCAGAAGGCAAAGAAAATAACATGTCTGAGAAAGCTGAAACTTGCAAGACTGGAAGCCCCCCTCTCCTGCCCCCAGCTTTATAGAAGCTGGTGAACAACTGGTAACAGAAGAGACTCTGACCAGCCCCGCTGCCAAAAGATTTATTGGACCTTTAAAAGTACTAAAATAAGGGCTGGAGAGACAACTCAGCAGTTAAGAGCATGAGCTGCTCTTGCAGAGGACCTGGGTTCAGTTCCCAGCACTCACATGGTGGCAAACAACCATCTGTAACACCAGTTCCAGAGGATCTGATGCCCTCTTCTGGCCTCTGCAGGCACTGCATACTTGTGGTGCACTTACATACATGGCAGACAAAGCACTCAAAAACATAAAATAAAAATAAATCAAAAAAATTTTAAGTACTAGGGTATTAAAAAAAAAACTAGAGAACAATGAAAATATCTTTGAGTCTTACAGCAAAAGATATTTTCAGGCAACTACAAGCTCAGAGAATTTTTATTGAAGCCATCAATGGTACAATATACAGAATCCTAAAGCAAAGTCTCCAGAATAGGAGGAAATAACAAATTGATATTTATATTTATAAGAAAAAAAGAATATCACTGAAAGTGATTACATATATATATATA